ATGGAAATCATTGAAAATGGCTTTACTCTTAAAGAAGCTAACTGCAGTGACTGCGAGAGAGAGTTAAAGGGGAAGCCTCAGGGCCCAGCCGAGGAGCGCCCTCCAAGCCCTGTAACGCCAAAAAGAGCAGCTCTGCTGTATCCTTTGAAAGCAGGAGTTTCCCTTAGACTGTCCCTTGCTGTGGACATAATCATATGCCACAAAATAACTGAGAAGGGGTAATTAGATAAGTTAAGGACTTTTTTTTTTTTTTCCAATTTTATTTCTGCTTGAAAATGGGTTATGTTCAATGTTATATTCAAATAATATACTTAAACCTGTTCTCTTGATTAAGAAGCTATACTAAGGCAGAAGCTCCATCAATTCTGAAAATCAGTGTTCTGAGTAAATACCAGTTCTATATGCCAGATGATCTCTAGTGATGAGCAGCGTGTTGAGTGATAAATGAAACATTAGCATAAATGTAGAAAACGTAAATGAGGACGGGCATTACTCACCATTTCAGTAGCATGGCCCTTCTTTCTCAAAAGGTTTTCCTTCAGTCCTAAGTAGAAATGCAATTCTTCATTCAGCATACAGTGAAGCATTCCTTCTGCCTCACTTGAAAGATGTTCCTGCACAACATGTCACAGTAAGTGTTCTTATGAATACTGTCGGATCTTATTTCTGCTTGGCTCTAACCAGCTGCTAAGGCAATCCGAAAATCATCACACTCCTTCCCGTGAATAGGAGGCTACCCAGCCTGTGTGAGGAAAACTGTGCCTGGGAGACTCGAGTAAAAATGTGGGTGACAGGCCTTGATGTGTTCCTCGTGCTAAGCCAGACCAGTTTAAAACATCTTAGTTACAAATGAGTATGAGCACTTTAAAGGAAATGCCAGGGATGGGTTCTTCTCTGCATATTACTTAGGAACAGAATAAGCTCCTCACCCCAACTCTGGACCAGATGGGCTCCCACTGATGGCAGGCGCTGCACCGCACTTAACTTTCATGGCCCCAGATAGCTGGCACGTTTCTTTAATAGGTAAATGGAACAGTCTCTATTAACTTTCTATAGAGAGGAAAAAATTTCATCAAAGTGATAAATTGTCTTGTTTTTCTCCCTACCCAGCTTTTTCTCCAGTATTTATATTTTCTTTATCTCAAGTGTAGTGAAAATGCTGCTATGACCCTTCCTGGGATACACCCTCCAACCCTGAACCAGGTGAGGTAATTTATGTGCTTTGAGGTAGTCCTGGAAAAAATCTATTAAGAAGGTTATATAGTGTCAGCATGGAATTCAGTGACTGGTTTTCCTCCATTCCTAGTCCATGTGACTCTCCTCCCTCACCATACACACAGACGAGTGGCGTTGGAGGTTTTAAAACTATAGCTCTGTGATACAGAACTTAGTGTTGTCGTAAATTTCTGACTCTTTTTCTTCTTTTTTTCAGTCCCTTTCTAAGCATTTCCTTAGCCATGTTGGGAGAAGACAGGGAGAAGCTGTTACTAGGTATCCCCTTCTAATAATCTCCTAAGAATAAGAGAGTGAAAATTAATGAAACAGTATTCTCAAAGACTCATGATAGACCCCTTTTAAAGTATGTATTTGAGGAGCAGTTGGAAACATTAAATAGTAATTTATTGTCATTTAACCGAAAAACAAACCAAACTCACTGTCATCAAGTCGATTCAACTCATAGTCTAATCAACCTCCTTGGGTTTCCAAGGTGGTATCTCTATAGAAGTAGATGGACTAATCTTCTTTCTAAAGAGTGCCCAGTGGGTTTGAACAGTCAAATGCCTTAGGCACTATGCCACCAGAGCTCCCAAACCTTTATAGAAGTAGATTGCCTCATCTTTCTCCCGTGGAGCAGCTGGTGGGTTTGAACTGCCAGCCTTCTGGTTTAGCAGCCAAGTATGTTACCCACTACACCACCAGAGCTTGCTTACTGTCATTTAGGGCTGTATTATTCTAATTAAGTATGTTAAATATTTAATTTGACTATTTTATTTATTTATTTCTCACTATTATTGTGGTGAAATCATACACAAGACATTCACCAACATAACAACTTCCCCATTTAGTAATTTTGACTTCCATTTTAAATTATACCAAAACAACCCCAAACGCACTGCCATGGAGTTGGATCTGACTCATAGCAACCCCTCCTTGGGTTTCCAAGACGGTATCACTATGGAAATAGGTTGCCCAAGTATTTTTACAGTTGAACATTCCAGTAATACCAAAGGGTATGGAGAAAAGTAAACATTGTGTCTCTATCCCCCAGTCTCTGTTAGAGAAATCATGTTAATTAATGTCCAGACATTTTCTTTCTGTATACAAATTTAAAACTTACGTTCCTTTTTTTCTTTCTTTCTGACCCAAATGAGAGCATAGTGTATGTGCTGCCTGCAACGTGGTTTGTTTTGTTTTGTTTTGTTTTTTTAACTCGATAGTGTTTTGGACATTTTGGGGGCTGGAACATCTATACGTGCTTAATTCTTTTTAACCACCGTTAAAATGCCTGCCGTTCCATTTTGTGCATTTATCTTATTAGTCCCCTATTGATAAACATTTAAATTGTTCAGTTTTTTTATTATTGTTGACAAAGCTTATTTATACAGCTACCTGTGTACATATGAGAGAACTTCTACTAGGTTAATTCCCAAGAGTGAAATTATTGGATCAGAGAGGGTACATGCAGTTTTATTTTTGAAAATGCCATATTACCTTTCATAAGGGTTGTGACAATAGGCACTACCATCACCAAGGTGTGAGGGCTGATTTCCTCACATCCTCACTAACACCTGGTATTCTCAAGCTTTTTGCCAGTCAGACTGATAACAAATGGCACCTTATTTGGACTTGCATCTCTTTGATAGTGGAAGGAGTAAACCATCTTTTCTTGACCATTTCTATTTCTTGTCAGAGTCCTGCTGATTTTTCTATGTTTCCTGTCTTTTTTTGGGAGGGGCTTATCAAGAGTTCTTTGTATATTAACCTTCTTTTCTCATGTATTATCAATACTTTTCCCTAGCCATTGTCTTTCTACTCTGTTTATTGTCATTTTTGCCGTAGTCAAGTTCTTAATTTTTTTTTTGCTGTCAGAGCTTATTAAGCTTTTCCTTTATGACTTCTTTTGGTTTGCTTAAGGCTCTTCTAAGATTATAAAATAGTCATCATGTTTTTTTTTTCAGTCCACTCATGGTTTCCTCTTTTGTGTTTAATTCTTTGATACATGCAGAATTCATTTTGGAGTAAGAAGTCTTATTGAGATAACTTTTTTTTTCCCCTGAAAAAATTAGATAACCAGTTTTTATGACAGTGATATTTGCATGTTAACGATACCACTTGAAGATGTGGATCCACATGGGATACATGTATAAATAATAACGTCATTGTAGTTCGTGGTAGCTCACCTACAATACATAACACCCTATCTTGGGGCATAGTATATCTTTGAAAATAAAGGAGGGGTGAGTCTTTTTTGATAAGTGCAAGTATTACCAAAACAAGTTTTTTTAAGTAAAATACAAGTCCTGACTCTTCCCTTGGATGAAACACCACCCTGACTTTCCTATTAGTGATGAATCCTGTGGAAAGGATCCAGGTATGTTTGTCTAGTGACAAGTAGGAAAGCAGGAAAGAGGCTTTTTGTATTACTTAGAATTCTCTCCAGCTCTAAACTAAGAAGTCTAGACTTAAGAAGATTTACATTTCTTATAACTGGTATAATTATGGACTTTGTGAAATGAATTAACCTAACATTAAATTTGGGAGCTCTGGTAGCATAGTGGCTAAGACACTTGCCTGCTAACCAGACGGCTGGCGGTTCAAACCCACCAGCCACTCCTCGGAAGGAAGGTTGGGCAATCCTACTTCCATAGTGATACTGCCTCGGAAACCCAAGGAGGGGTCGCTATGAGTCGGATTTGACTCGACGGCACATAACAACAACAACATTAAATTTAAATTCTTAGCTTTCTCTTCCTGTTTATCTGCAGATCATGGATTGGATATGCCTGCTTCTAGATGCTAACTTCACGGTTGTGGTGATGATACCAGAAGCAAAAAGGCTACTGATAAGTCTTTACAAGTTTGTGAAAGCCCAGGTTTGTGATCGCTTGATATATACTGACTTCTCTTTGTCTGCCCAAGCATCACCTAACTGACGGTTGGTTCTTGGGACAGTTGTTAGTAATCGTGGCAGATTTGTTTATATGTAGGAGTTATGGTAAAAGTTAACTCTGACAACTTTTTTTCTTTAGATAAGCATTTATTCCGAGCTCAACAAGATTGAAGTCAGCTTTCGGGAGTTACAGAAACTAAATCAAGAAAAGAACGATACAGGCTTATATTCAATTGAAGTGCTAGAACTCGTCTGACATTCTCAGTTCGCCCTCATAGACGTTTTGTGAAGCCCTTTTACGTGAGCTCTTCATTCTTATCCAGGAAGAAAGGTGTTTTGTTTGTGGCCAACTCTCGATGTCAGAAACGTGTCCACGGCTCCCTGGGACCTTCCCTTGTTGATGCTCACTAGGTAGGGAACGCAGACTTCACAGGAACCTATGCCAGTGTGTGGATGCTGGTGGGAAGAAGTTTGGAAACTTTTTTACATATGTAATTGAACTGATTTTAAGTAAACTTATTTCTGTATTGATAGAAGTCTAATTTCTTACCATATGTCTGAGTAAGTCTTTTAATTAAAAAAATCACCATTGAAGCAGTAATTCTAGGAGATAGTTTTATCCGAGCCAGAGACTGCCCCCGTTCATCGGTGCTCACAGCAGAAGGGGCCAAGTCCACAAGCAGGACAGGGGGGGCCTCGTGCAGGGGAGTGCTTGTCTCCTGCCATTGCCCCCCGTCTTTGACCCGGTTCTACTCGCCTTTCATACCCAAAGATCAAAAGTTTTCTGTATACTGAGCTCTAGGTTGCCTCCATGGCAATTGATAACAATCAATTTAGGATATAAAAGTTAACTGTGAAACCTGTGGAAGCCGGAAGTGGAAGGGACTGCCTTGTTTTCCTGAGTCTTACACGTTTTCTGCCTTTGACAGTGCAGTCTTGCCACATTTCTGTTGTTCATTTTAGTGGAAAATATTCAAGTTTTCCTTCTCTGAGAGATTTCCACCTTACGTGGGTTCCAGCTTTTGCAGGTTTTTCTATAATACCAAACAGTGAAAAAAATCTCTTGTGAAAATAGTTTTATAGGTTGATTGACCATACTTTCCAGTTTTAAGTGTTTGGATTTAGGACAAATGAGAAGGTTTTATGTAGAAGAAATGGTTGTTTTTGTCTCTTGAAGATAAACTCAGATTGTTTTTCTTAAATGTGATATCACTCTTTCAGATAATAATTAAGTTTTAAGTTATATTTAAGAATTAAGTTTCCCCAAAGTAACTTGAACCCCTTCTGAGCTACAATGAAAGTCTATGTTGAGTAAATCATTTTGAAACCTGTTTTAATATGAAGGGTTACAGTATGTTTTGGTTTTTCTTTAAAAATCCTGTAAATTCTAGTGCATGGGTATAAATTCAAATGTGATTCCAGAGCCCAGGTTTACAGAACCCTCATTGCCTCATTTACCTTGCATTCGTGAAAGGCTTTATTTTAGGTCACTCTGTGGGCACTGTAGTCACAGCTCTGGCAGCTTACAGACAGGTTCTTCTCGGTCCCGCTTATTCTCTGTTTAGATCAGAAAGAAAAGAAAGACCAAAGATAGCAGTATGAGTGAATTGTCATGTTGACGTCAAATAGCAGGACCGTTTGCTCAGCCATTTTTAACTAAAGCAATATAGTATTTCTAGCAGAAGTAGGAATTACTTGCAAATACGAGACATTATAAAACTCTGGGTTTCTAAACTTTTTCAGAGCTGACAGGTAAGAGATTTTTTATGATTTAGAGCTCCATTTTATGGACATTGAGATTATTTGGGATTTTCATACTTCTGGATTATAAACTATTGATGATTTTATTTATGAGAACTCATAATTAAAAGACAAATTTGATAAACTTGTGAATTTTTTAGGCAGAGAAAACAGGGTAAGTAATTGAAATTCAGTGGCAGTCAGTTTTTAAATTAGCATTTTGTTTAGAGTGACTCTTGACTTAATTTTACTTGAAGATGCCTTCTGTGGGTAAAAATCACTTGCCTGGTCAGGAATGGAGCAAGGCTTTCAAGGGTGAAGAGGTAAGAGGAATCTCCCCAAGCCTTCAGACTTGTATCTGTTTGAACAAACTTTCTATATTGGGTTCTTGTAAAGGCTTTGTTACAGAGTTGAACCATCTGAGTTATAGAGGCATACCTGTTCATGCTTAAAATTTCTGGTGTTTTCAGGTACTGGATAAAATGTGGCTACCATACAAAAGGATGTGAACTATTATGATGAGCAGAACTAGACTTCATTTTAATTACGCTGAAATTTTTAATTGCCTTTAAATACTAGCTGCATATTGTTTCTAGGCTGTCCGCAATCAAAGTTACTGAATTTAGAAATTTTTAAAGGATTTTATAGGAACATACAAAGACTCTTACAGGCTAAGTTCTTAAAGACAAGAACCGTGTCTCATCATTTCTGTATTCTAAGCACAGGATCACTGGCACATAATAGGTGTTCAGTAAATGGCTATTGAATAAAGTTATTGAATAATGAATTTTAATTCTCCTGCTGTAGAGTAATGACTCTTAGAGTTTGCAACAGTTTTCCTTTTTCCAGGAAGTAAATAATCTGTTTGTTCACTAAATATAAACTGTGTAGTCTTCTGCCTCTAGGTTTTTCTTCGACTGTGGGGTTTGTTGTTGTTGTTGTTGTTGTTGTTTTAATTGTGATAACTATGTACGTAAACAGAACATTGGACGTCTCATTAGTCTTCACGTCGTCATGTTCCACCATCACCCTTATCAACTCCCAGATTTTTCAGAGGCTTTGGTTTCTGTGGAACTAAGTTACTCTCGTTGTCTCTGATTACTTATAACACATCTGTATCATAATAAAAGAGCTGCTTTTTAAACTGGAATGCTCTGTCTACAAAATGATTTCCTGTTGTGAATTTTCTATCTCTGTTTTCTGGAGGAAATGTTGAGTGATGTAAACATTATAAAAGTGTAGGTTATTATTACTACTTAGGTTATTAGACATGTATTTGCTTCATGGAGCCTTGGTGGCATAGTAAAGTAGTTAAACTGAAAGGCTGGCAGTTAGACCCACCAGCCACTCCACAGGAGAAAGATGTAACAGTCTGCTTCTGTAAGGATTTACAGCCTTAGAAACCCAGTGGGGCAATTTTACTCTGTCCTTATAAAGTCACTATGAGTTGGAATTGACTCAATGGCAGTGATTTAGTTCTGGTTTTTTATTTACTTTTTGCCTCACTAGCCTTCTTTGTCAACGTTTCGTGACTGTCACTATGGCTGAGTCCATTCCGCACCATGTCTAGAGCTTTGAACAAAGATGGACTTTCTGTCCCAGCTCTTTATTTTGAAATTTCTTAACCCTACAAAAAGTTACAAGAAAAACAGTGAACCCATATTGTTATTAGCTGCTGTTGAGTTGGCACCTGGCTTATGGTGACCCTGTACACAATGGAATTGGGCCATTGTGATCCATAGAGTGTTTATGGGTCATTTAAATTTACCTGTTGCTAACATTTTACCCTGTTTGCTTTATGAACCATTGAGTGTTATTTACAGACATCCAGACACTTTATACCTAAATACTCCAATTTAATCCTCTAAAACAAGAGCCTTCTTCTATATACCTCCAATGCAGCATTAATAACAGCACTGTTATCTAGAGTGATTACAGTCCTTGTTCAAATTTCCATAATTGTCCCAATGTCTTTTATAGCTGGACTTTACTGCTGTCCAATATCTATTCAGAGATCATGCATTGCATTTAGTTTTCATGTTTCTTTAATCTAGAAAAGTTCCCTAGACACTGTCATTTTTTAAAAAAACGTCAGCCAGTTGTTTTGCAGATTGTCCCTCAATTTAGATTTATCTAGTTCTTTCCACATGGTTAGGTTCAGATTGAACATTCTGTGGAAGAGTGCTACAGAGAGGGACACAGCTTGTGAGTTGTATCTCATCCTCAGTGCAGTTAAACTGATCACTTAGTTAAGGCAGGTTTACCAGATTGCTTCATTCTGAAAGTACCTTCCTTTAGACTTCATAAGTAATCTGTGTGTACCTTTTAGAGTATGTGAATATCCTGTTTTGGAATATTCCTTCTCCTTATCAGTGGTTTTGGATCCATTGTTTAGGTTTTAAATAGGCCGCAGGACTCCAATCTCTGCCTCTGTCAGCACATGATGTTTTTCCCTATGGGTCTCTTCTCTTTTTATAAGGATACCACTTCTTATTAATTGAATTGTATGTCCTCAAAATACGTGTCAACTTGGCTAGGCCATGATTCTCAGTATATGTAATTATCCCTCCATTTTGTGATTTGATGTAGTTATCCTATATGTTGTAAATCGTAATCTCTGATATTAATGAGGCAAGAATTAGAGACAGAATGCAATCTATAAGATTAGATTATATCTTGAGTCAGTCTCTTTTGAGATATGAAAGATATTAAACAAGCCAGCTGAGATCAGAGGGACCTGACTGCCACTACGGAAGAAGAGCCAGGAGTGGGGCTCATCCTTTGGACCTGGGGTCCCTGCACTGAGAACCTCCTAGACCCAGGGGTAGATTGATGCCAAGACACATGGAGATCTCCAAGGGATGCGGAGCCCACAGATGTTGAACTTCCCCTACTCTGAATTTGGACTTCTAGCTTCCTACACTGTGAAAGAATAAGTTTCTGTTTATTAAAGCCATCCACTTGTGGTATTTCTCATATAGCAGCATTAGATAAGTAAGACACCACTCATACTGAACTGGTTACATCTTCAAAGACCCTATTTCCAAACAAGGTCATGTTCACAGATAATAGGGGTTAAGACTTCAACATATTTTTTTGTAAGGACAGTTCAGTCCATCAAAGTAACCTTACTTATTCCTTCCCAGTTTAAGAGGCCTGCAGTGTTTACAGTGAGGCTCTGCAGTGACTGAGTGGGAGGCAGAAGTTGTGAGACTGATGTGTCAGTATGATTCTCACAGTGAATGACCTTTAAGGTAGCTGTAATAACCCAGCTCATGTCATAGTAATAAGTATTGTGAATGGAGAATCTTCATGGAGAGTCCACCATTATCTAACCACTGCCCTCCATAGGAGGGCTATCAAATTATAGGTGGCTTTCTAGAATGGAATGCCTCTCCAGTCATGAACCTACAGCATAAAAATCAGAAGTTATGTCCTAGAAATTAAAACGAGGAACATAAGCCCATCAGATCTCAAGAGAGCTCAGCAGCAAAGCACCATCATTATTCAGGGAAG